AACTCTGGTCCTTGGCCTCTCAGCCATGTGACCCCTTGACCTCTGCCCAGCTCAGGCAATGTTGCACAGCTCCTTTAGCACTGCTGATAAATGCCCAGAGGGCACTCTACTCTTCCAGAAAGCCTCCTGCCTGAAGGCGCTCCCTGGGCCTGGAAGCTCACTGCTCTGTCTCATGTTATTGGTGCTGCTGCCACCGCTTCGCCGCCGCTCCTTTAGTGTCACAGTTCTGCCTCCTGGGTCAAGGAGGTTTATCACAGAGGGACCTTAGAGTCCCTCTGCCCCTGACTCTTCTTGATGGTAGTGGGGATACCCCATTTCTGTTTCTGAGGTAGCTCATTTTAAACTCAATACGATGGCAAAACTAACCAGTCTTTACATTGGAGTTTCCATATACCTTATTTAAATGGTTCCACTCAGTCATTTGGTAAGAGTTACAAAGATTATGCCTAGCAGAGCTATATCAAGTAAGTCACTGCACCACAACATCTTTCTGGTATTCTCTGCTTTCATCCAAGGTCCATCTAAATCAGCAATGATTTGTTGTTCTGAATCTGGCTTGAATTTCTGGAAGCTCCCTGTTGATGTACTGCTGCAAATATTTTTTGCATTATAAGCAAAATTTTACTTGTGTGTAATATTGTTACTGTTTGATGTTTTCTTCATTCTATTGGATCACTTTTCTTTGAAATGGGACATAAAAATGGATCTCTTGCAGTCCATAGGCCAGATTACTGTCTTCCAAATTTCTTGGCATGGACCAGTGAGTGCTTCCAGCATTGCATTTGGTTGAAACATCCCAACTGATATTCAGCCAGTTCCTGAAAACTTTTTTTGGCCAGTGCTTTCAGTACAGCTTGGAATTCCATCAATATCATCGGTTCTTGATAATATGCTACCTCCTGAAATGGATGAACAGCCACCAGTTCTTTTTGGTACAGCAGCTCTGTGTATTCCTTCTATCTTCTTTGGATGCTTCTTGCATCATTCAGTATTTTGCCCATGAAATTCTTTAATATCATAAGTTGAAGTTTGAATGTTTTCTTCAGTTCTTTTAGCTTGAGAAACATAAAGTGTGTTCTTCTTACTTATTGTCTAACTCCAGATCTTTACATGTTGTTTTGTGCCATCAGTTCACTTTTAACTCAGAGTGACCCTATGCACAACTTTACAAAAAATACTAAAGGATGCTCTTTAAACTGAACTGACAATAGTCTGAGATTTACACACATGATGACAACACCCAGAATTCAATCTGGATATGTTGTTGTTAGGTACCATCTAGTTGGTACTGACTCAAAGTGACCTTGTTACACAACAGGATGAAACACTGCCTGGGCCTGGGCCTGGGCCAACCTCACAATCATTGTTACACTTGAACCCATTGCTGCTGTCACTGTCAACACATCTCACTGGGGGTCTTCCTCTTTTTCTCTGACCCTCCAGTTTACCAAGTATGATCTCTATGGACTGGTCCCTCCTGATAATGTGTCCAAAGGATGAGAGACAAAATCTAGTCATCCTGACTTCCAAGGAGCATTTTGGCTGTAATTCTATTTTTTAGCTTTTAATTGTAAATTGGGCGAAGTTTATAGAGAAGACCATCAGGTTTACATTCAGCAAATTATACACTTTGTTTCATTTCCATGATTACAATCCCTTCCCTGTGACATTTGTCCTACTTCCTCTGTGTCTGCCATT